AATATCAAAATTGAAAATACTGTGGAAACAAAGACACCTACATCTTGGATGCCCTTGAGGTAAGCTAAAACATATAAAAAATTAATTTCAAAGTGAACTTGTACAGTATCAGTATGGCATTTTCTTAAATTGACAGATGCAAAAAACAATCGGGCCAGTATAAAAAATCCTTAGCGTTGAGCCCTGAAGGATCATGTGATACTGAACGCTGGAGTATATCAATATAAAATATATTCTACCTGCTGGGTGAAATTTGACATTCTGGTGTAAACAGGTCTGTTTATTATAGCTGATATTTTAAAAACACGATTAGATGATAAATACATTTTAAAAACCCTTTGTAATACATTAAATCTCCTGATTCGTTTAGCAGAACTCTAACTTTGTTATGTCCCCCCCGAAATGTGCAGAAACCAACTGTGCTGGCATCTGTCAACCAGCTATCCTTTTGACCTGACAGTTTATTTCCCTACTTATTCGAAGTTAAGAGAGCAGGGGAGAGGAGTGATGCAGCACACGTCAGGCTCACTTTTATTCTAATTATGAAGACAGGATGTTCTTTACTGTGGAGGTTAAACATTACCATTTGGTGTCTTTTCCTGCCCCCTAAGAAACCTCTGGGAAAAACCATTATCATTCACACTGAATTGTTGTTCAACCATTACAACAAATTTGTTTAGGAGACATGAATGCTTAAAGCCAGCGTTAATATTTGATTTAGAAGCATCTAATTGTGTAGAAGTTTTTGTGTAAAAGATTAATGGTCCAGTGTGTTGAGCTGTACGAAATGTAAATATTACCTCTGGCTAAACTATAAAGAAATATCCACATTCCCGCTGGGCCAGTAAGGTTAATTAAGTAATGTAAATTAGGGTGATGGATGGTGCAAGGTGATGTATGATGGGGAAAGAAATGAAAAGAGAAGAGCTTTCTAGTAATGTCTTGGGTTTGAGATCGGCAGAAGATGGAACCATCATAATATTCAGAAACTGAAACGAGTTTCCCTAACTCATCTGAAACAAATATTATGATGCCCATTGTAAAATCATTGTGCTGGGAAGCGACATGTTCAAACATGTCAAATTATAAACTGTTAAATGGCAAAGTATTACATGAAGATCTCACTCTTTGAATATGACTGCATTTACATGCACAAGAATATTGAAATCAATCAGAATTTGATCCTATTTTGACATTTTTCAACCAGCTTTGTGTCGTTACGGTAGATCTGTGTACACTTTTCCATGTTACCTGCACACATATCTCCCAGTTTATTTGTCAGCTAAAGACTTTTTACAGCTCCATGACTGAAAGTGTCCAAATTGGGTTTTTTATTACAGATCAAGCATATCCTTCAATGTGGGATTTTCATTATAAACTTATGTTGTCTTTTCTGTATGGGATTGGTACTGTGATTATTTTCCATGATACATTCTTAAAAGGGCTGGTTTGAGTAACATACAATTAGCCCAAACTAGTTGCGTCCTCCATATCCTGTCAGTCATCACTTTTAGCTAGATTTAATCTTTCTTAAAATATAACTTTGCAGCTTTGTGTGAGTGTGTCAGGAGAGCGAAGCAATTGTGCACTGATTCTGTTACAGATCACAGAGGAAAAAGTGAACACAAAGGAATTGTAATGAATAACCTTGAAATGATTTTAGGTTGAAAAATGCATTTTACTAGAACAAAAGGGTGATTTACCTCCCTTTTTCATCGCAGTATTATCCTAATATGGTTGATTTTGAATTTCCATGTTCCACAGGGTCCTGATCAAGAGCTCAGATGATGTATTTTACAATGTGAAAGTCATTTTCAGTTAAAATTTTTATTTTCCAGCCAGTAGGATGATATCTTCAGATTTTCAGGGTTCACTTTGGTTGTCTTTTTGATGGATTGTTTGAAAAAGGTGAATCAAGGGGTGAAAAATGTATAATATATTAGGGAACAATACTGCGGGCTATGGCAATAATAACGGTAATATTTGAAAAACCACACCAGCCTGTTTTTTGGTCAATTTGTGGTAATGGATCGACCTCAGATTGTTTAGGCCCAAAGGTTTTTTCACATTTTTGTTTGTTTTTGAGAACATTATTTGGATGGATCAAGCATTCAAAAATTGGTTCAAGCTGAACAAGGATCATATAATTCAGTCTAGAATCTTCTTGTGAACTACAACCATAGAGAAACTTCACAGAGCCCTTAGATGAGTGAATAAATTTGTTTCATTCTGTGATATGCCCATTATTTTTCCTGCTTATTGAAATGTCAATGGATTTGAATGCTTGAAGTTTTTTTTTTTTTTTTTTTTTTTTTTTGCGCCGGTGACCGTATAGGGCACTCCTTAAACAAGCTGGGGTGAATTGTTTTTGGAAGTGTGTAACAACAGATGACAGAGAAAGATGCCAGACCAGAATTTAAGCCTGAATCTTTCCTATTATGCTGTGATAGTCATTCCACAAGGCCACTCACCCTTGAAATTGTTAAATGGATAAACTAAAAGGCCCATTTGTGGACTTTTTGGTCTTTTACTCACTCAATAAGATCAGATGACCATCTCCTAAATAGCACCCAGAGACTTTTGTTAGTTAGGGTTGTCATGCATGCTTGCGTGGTATACTCAAGAGATGACTTTTCGTAGTTTTTAAGGGCATCCGAAATCAATGAGATCCAAAAACACATGAGGTCTTACAACACTGTTGTTAGTTTCATGTTGAATTTGTTTGTTTTTCAGCTCACTGGCAGTTCGTCTGATGCAAAAAGTCAAAGGAATACAGCAGCTTTGTATTTTGAGTGATCAGATCTTTTCTGTGCAAATAAAATAGCATTCCCTGTGCATTACAATGAGATACATTTGCAGTTACTAAGTCTGTGCTGAAGTGCTTTTCATGTATCAAATGCATATTCATAAGCAAGAGGACAAAGAGGTTATACTTTCCTCACGTTCCTAAGCTACAGTTTATGTCTATTTTTGCAGAAACAAATATTATTTCAGGATGTGTCCATAGGGACTTTCCGTTAAATCGTTTCTTTGCATTTCATATTGTAAGCCGGTCTCCCTTTTATGGAAGCTTGTTTCCGTCACAGACAGAATAAAACATTTTAAAAGCTAATTGCCACTTTTTGTCTTACAATTGTGAGTATACATCTCACAATTCTGACTTTTAGATTAGATTTATCATTTGAAGATATTAAAAAGGCCTTTGATAGTGTTAGTGTTTAATAGTGCAGTGTGAAATTGAATATTTCTTTAGTTGTGTCTTATAATCAGGTTTTTGTCATTCTTTTAATGCATATTTATTTATTTATTTGTCTGTTAATTGTGTACTGTGACGTGTTTATGATTGTACGGTTGGTGGCAAACCAGTTTCCCTACCGGGATTAATACATTTTCAATCAATCAATCAATCAATCAATCAATTAATTTATAAATTTAAATATCTGCACGACCTATAAAAATGGCAATTTTAGTATACATCTCACAATTCTGACTTTTAGATTAGATTTATTATTTGAAGATATTAAAAATAATTTATAAATTTATATATAGAAAAGTGGCAATTTTAGTGTACATCTCACAATTCTGACTTTTAGATTAGATTTATTATTTGAAGATATTAATTTTTTTTTTTTTAATTTAAATATCTGCACGGCCTACTTGGAATTTTGCTAAGGCCCCCAAGTGAAACCCGGTTTCCTGTTTTCCACTGAACCACTGCTTTAAACTTGCCCTTACACTTACTCTCAGGCAGCTGGAAGTGACTAATAGCAAAGAATCAGAAAAAGGACAACAGCAAGAAAGGGTGCAGGGCTCCCGACTAACTTTTTTTACTTGGAGCACTGTAGCCCCTGACTGAAAATTTTAGAAGCGCAAGTAGAAAATTTAGGGGCACACCTTAAGACGAACATAGCAGGTTGTGGAGCATCTTCGGGAACCACAAATTAATCTTGGTTAATTAATTTTGATACATCAATAAAACGATTAAAAACAAGCAACTTTGTCTTAAAATTGGAATATATCTTTCAATACTGAAATTTGAATATTAGGTTGGACGACATGAGACATTTGAGTAAAAAAAGTTGAGATATCTATCGATATGCTGAAAATTGAATTTTTAAACGACACAGAGTTGGCTTACCTTCTGATTTTCATTAATGTGCTGAACTAGGCCTACACTTGTGGTTACTCTATAGGACGCCTAGGTTAATCCTCTGTTTTTGCACAAAATTCCAAAAGATTATATTATAACCGGCAAATAATTGTTTTCTAGCTGTGTATTACAAAGCTTTGTTAAGACAATAAGCAGTTTATTTAGAAAAAAAAAAAAAAAAAACATTCTGCGATCATTACAGAGGAACCATACAGAGAGAAAATTTCATTGTCAGACACAATCAGACCACCAAACCCTCCAGTACTTGAAAAAAGGCATTGGGATGAAATTCAGACCGATTCCCCGCTGCTACATGCATAGAAGTGAGAGTGAAACAATATGGTTTTCTGCAGGTATAAGCAGCTGAGAGTCTCACAAGTGGGGAGGTGAAATATAATGGTCTCCCTTCACCTGCTGACTTCCCTTCCTTTTCTCGCTCCATGTTTTACACAAGTTGTACAGGTTCATAATTCTCAATTCTGCTGAGCATTAATTTAGCTGCGACAGAAGGGGTTCCCTGGAGGAAGCCAGGTGACAGCTTCATTTCAAGCCCCTTTAATGTTGTGTGGCTGCTAAGTCTCCGGCTCAATTCTCAAAAGCACCATAAATTCCTCAAGCACAAAATATTACAGTTGTGCGCGGCAGCTTTTCAATTTGTGTTTGTCATGCGAATGAGGGCTTAGTAGGCTTACGCCGTCAAGTTACGTTGATGCGTTCTACGCTGAGTGTTTAATTGTTGTTAATAAATGTTCCACTGGAAGCTGAGAAGATCTGAAGGCCTTTTTTGGAGTTTTTTTTCCTGATTTTCTGGGACATTATTTGACCTCAACACTGTTTTTCTTTTATTTAGAGATTGAAAAGTTCGAAGGAGACGAGTTGAGGAAAGATGGTGAGGTGAAGAAATACTTGGATATCATCAGCAACAAAAACATCAAGCTATCGGAGCGCGTCCTGATCCCGGTGCAGCAGTATCCTAAGGTAAGACCTCAGTGTTCCATGCAACGTAAGGAGTGATGACGTGAGTGCCAAGTCAATGTAATAGTCATGGAGATCAGAGAGGATCGAAAGCAATTCATTAGCTTTATGGGATCGCTGTGCTCTTGGTAATGACTTAAATGTGTTCTGTGTCTGGCAGGAGCAAACTAGATGGTGTCAGAATCTGATTTGTGCTGCACTGCAGATATGCTGTTATTTACACCTAATATTTGTGTCCTGGTTCCTGGCTTTCTCAGAGTAACAGGCACGCCACAACTGTCTAGCTGCCTCATCTTGTAATCGGGAAATTAATCTTTATTTTTTTTTTATTTTTTTTTTATTTTTATTTTTTTTTACGTATTACCAGCAGGAAATTTCAGCTTCTCAGTGCCAATAGAGTTGCATTTTATTTAGCAACATGGTAAGTTTTGGACCAAGTCTGTTTATTTATTGAACATCCTGCGGGGCTTTGACTTTGTACCAATTGTATTTATGTTGATCAGTTTTATTCACATTTAACAGCTGAGGGTATTTAAATGTGCCATAAAATAAGACATGAAGTGTATTTGGCGCTTGGTGGTTAAGTTTGATTTCCGCTGATAGTTTAATTAGTGATTCAGTCATTAAAGTTCCAGAACTGCCTGGTTTGATTCATCTGGAAACAATGTTACATGTTGCACATCACAGTTTTGCCATTATTTTAAATGGAAACAAAGTTTGTATTTTTTAGGTAACTGGTTATTTAATTCAGAGTACTCGTTCGTTATCACGTTCGGTGCACACGGCACTGTATTATTCGGCATTGTGTTACTTTAAAATGATGCTTTGAAAATGAGTGGAAAAAGCCCATGAGCATCACACGGACGGATTCATAAAGCTTCAGAGCTTCTCATATGTTGCCTGGTTTTTTACTGTTTCTGCTTTAGGAAATGAATCCCTGGAGCACTACAATGCGCTGCCTGTTTGATGGGTTTAGTAGATTTGTGCTGTCGAAAAAGAGTACAAAGAACACGCCTTAGGTTTAGGTTTTACATGTCTTGTTCGAAATGTAACAATGGAATTTTCCCAAATCCTGAGGATCTTGGCTGCTTTGTAGTTATGGTAATTTAATGGGAAAGTTCTCTTGTGAAATTCTTGGAATGTGAGAAATGTAAAATGTCATAGCATTTATTAATATTAAGTGAAGTTTATATATTTTTTTAGGATTTTACTTTATTTTTTGTTACAAGATAAGAGGGTGTATTTTTCTTGCACATATAAGCAGATAAAAGATGTGTAAATTGTTATAATTTTCTGATGCAAGTTTTGTTGTGAAGCTTGACTGCATAAAATAGTGTCAATGCATTCAAGATGTTTTTTTTTGGAATCTAATCTTAGCAGTTTAGGTTATTATTGATCTGAGACATGACAATATATCGGTATCATATCGGTATCATATCGGCCAGTATATGTTTTTTATTTATATGTGTAAATTTTCTGTTTTATATTGTTACATTTAGATGACCTTTGCTTTATAACTCACATAGTTACATAATCATTAAAAACACTAATAATTTAATAACACTTTATTTTATTTTGAGCAAATCTCAGATTAAATAACTTTTTTCTTACTGTATATCATGTTTTGATACTAAATTCACTTGCAGTTAATTCATAAAAATGTGTTTTATTTTAATGTGTACTATTTATTTTTCTATTTATTTAGAAAAAATTGTAGAAATTAAAAAATATAGAATTTTAATTTCAGCCATATATCAGTTATCTGCCATAACAAAATAAAATACACAACAAAATAATTATCAGCTTATTTTGTCAGCGTATTTACTGTAATATCGGCTCATCCCATAAAATAAGTCCTGCTTAGAAAACTTACTTGTCAATGTACTTGATACAGAGCTTGGATATACAAGCTATTTCTCTGGTGTAGACACTACCCAAAAAGGTTAGCTTAACACTCAAATAAGTTGATCAATGAACTTGTGGACCATAACAAATGATAGCTTATAGAGTCTAGACTTTATGTTATGCTCTCTGTTACAAATCCCCAGGATTTATCTATGTGCAGTTAATTAATCCGTGTGTGACGACAGCTCTGTCTCTGAGTTTTGTTAATCATGCTTGATGAGACTCCAAGGAAGAGGATCTCTGCTGCAGCTCAGAATAAGTGAGCTGAAGTCGATATTGGGTTTCTTTTGATCCTCTCATTAAATCAGGCTAACTTTAGTTTAAATATTTGCATAATGAAGAATAGGCCTTGTGGACCTTGAATGGCAATTTGTTTTGTGTCCTTTTTTCGTATTTGCTCAAATGTTTATATTGACCTTGACGTAAAGTGCTTGTTATGAGTAATTACTCCTCTGCATCGTTTCAGATTGAGACTTTTTATGCGTTGCTCCATTGCTTTGAAGACTTTTGATTTACTTGACAAGATATTAATTGCACATCACTGTTGTGCTATAATGCAATGGCGTGTTCAATATTCATGACACATTATTTTTCCCCCCAAATGATCACATATCACTTTATTTAACTATTAAGAAATATGAAAGAACAATTCATTTACAGTAGCTCTGACAGCAGCACTGACAGCAGACTCTGTTTAAATGATTTTATTCGGGGAATATTAAATTCACAGGCTTCTCTGAGCTGAGAGAGTTTGACAAGGTTAGAGAAGACAGGGGAACTAAAACTTAATTCTAATAAAAGAATGCTGTTTGTTTTCTATGATTTGCAGCCATGTCCACAATGCCCTTGATGAATTACACAATTTAGAGGCATCATGATCATAAAAGGAGAGTACAACTTGGGTCTGTCGATAGATAGATAGATAGATAGATAGATAGATAGATAGATAGATAGATAGATAGATAGATAGATAGATAGATAGATAGATAGATAGATAGATAGATAGATAGATAGATAGATAGATAGATAGATAGATAGATAGATAGATAGATAGATAGATAGATAGATTCTGCTACTGTATTGGAAAAGTCAGCAAATATGCTTAGTTGATGTGGATGGTGTCCACCAAATGTTAAATCAATGGATAGTTTTATCCTGGCTACTATTACTCATACAACTCTTTTTTATATCTCTTTGCACAGATCTGTATATATTTCATTGTGACATCACAAAACTACACACTGTTTTCATTTTTCATCAGTTATCTGAATGCAAAAGTATTTGATTTACCATACTTTAAGTTTGCACAAAAGCACAGTCAGTGGTTTTCTATGAAATATAGTCCCTGCTGACATAGACCTCTGATACCTGTGAGCATTGATAGAAATCAAGAGAGTGTCACACGCTCTCTCTCTCTCTCTCTCACACACACACACACACACACACACACACACACGCACACACAGAGAGAGAGAGAGAGAGACCAAAAAGAAGGCCCAAGAGATGAATGGGGTACCTGCCTCATCATCTGTTAAAGTCAAAGACACTGTCGTCATGGAAACCACTGTATTTAGATTTAAGAGATGGATTTGGGCAATCTATCAAAGGGCATATCTGCACATCTGAGCATCGCTGCCAATTTGTTTTATGAGTGTCCATGGGTTTTTTCCCCATAGGTAATAGTGTTTTTTGATCAACAATATTCAGAAGGTATAACTGGAACATGTGCATAAACATTTGGGGAATCTTGCTTTACACTGTAGTCTTCTTCATTGTGTTTGCAAGGGTTTATAAGTTAGCCAGACCGCCTTGGCGTCTGATTTGTCAGAGGATTGTAATTAAGACTTAGCAAATGTCCTTTGGGTACATCTGTTTGTGCAGAGACTCATTAGATGCTATGCTTATTTGGTGCAGTGCACACTGATGAATCAAAATGGTACGGAGTGTGAGTTGTGTAGTAATCTATGCTATCAGTCACCTGATTCCATTGGGCTGAACGTTAAATTGACAAACACATGTCCGGGCAGCAGCACATGCTAGTGGTGCAAAAAGAAACTAGGCAGTTGCTGCATTGCCCATACTTACAGCTGCTTTCTGATTTTCATGCTGCATTATTTCAAACTCATGCCAAATCGTAAGCTAGAAATAAAATGACACATATCTAAAGAAATATTATAGGTAATATATATGGGATATAGGATATAATAATGTTTACATATACATAATTACAGATATATTATGTGTGTGTGTGTGTGTATGTGTGGGGGAGTGCGGTCCATATGCCGCGGATGCTCTTCATACCCAAGCCATTAATATTTGCTAATTAATATTAACACTTTAAATTACTAAAATCCATTTGAGGTGTACCATAAACCTTACATTGTAGAATGTTGGTAATACATATGTAACTGTATGTAAACTGTTTATTTATTTGCTGAACTGTGGTCATTTTTTTTTCCAATTCTGACAGTTACGGAGGGTTTTAGGTTAGCAGATCCACAGCTGCTTTGGCGCCTAATACATGCTCTGTTGTTACAATATGTATTGTCACCATTTCTTGTTGCGTTCTCATTGGTTTACTGGAAAATGGGGGATTTCATGTGCAGGGAAAGTTGTCCTTGTGAATCGCTCACCCAAGAGGTAAAATGTGCTGTTGCTGCTAGATTTTGATCAATGAAAATCACGTTGTATATGATACAAAACTAACTAGACTATAAATCAAATGAAAAAAGAGCGTAGTAACTATCACTCTGTCTAGAGCGAACAGGAACGTCTCTCTTTCAAAGGATCTGCACGGGGATATGGGCATCACATATCTTGTAACAATGACTATTGGATATATTATATCTAATTTAGCATAATACTATGGTAATAATAATAATATGCTAAATTAGATGTTGTTATTTCTATTAATTAGTGTTAGTGTTAGGTTTCGAGGCTTTGTATCTATTTTACATTAATTCTACACAGTACTTTGCTTATCATTTACAGTGTTGTAAATAACGTGTCGTGAACACATGAGATTCTGTTTTTAAGCATTAAACAGCAAGAATTGTAGTGTGTTTCCGCATTATTACATTGAAATCTTGCATTCCGAA